ACCAAAACTTTTCCCGCGCAAATTCATAACTCGGAGTCCTGATATGCTAGAAAGCTGAAATTTTAGGGGAATGTTCCCCGTCCAAGCAGGTGCTAATGAGCTCAGGTGCTAGAAGGCTGAAATTTTAGGGGAATGTTCCCCGTCCAAGCAGATGCTAATGGGCTCAAATCCAAACCCCCGGATAAGCATGGTACCCGTGTACGAGCCCCCCCAAAATTTTTCCCGCGCAAATTCATAACTCGGGGTTCTTCCGGGTAAGCGTGGTACCCGTGTACGGGCCCCCCAAAATTTTTCCCGCGCAAATTCATAACTCGGTACGTACAGGCCCGTGAAAAGTTCTCTAATGGGCTCAAATCCAGCCCCCGGGTGAGCGTGGTACCCGCGTACGGACCCCCCAAAATTTTTCCTTAATGAGCTGAAATCCAGCCCCCGGGTAAGCGTGGTACCCGCTTGCGAGCCTGCCAAAGTTTTTTTCGGATGAGCTCAAATCCAGCCCCCGGGTAAGCGTGGTACCCGCGTACGAGCCCGCCAAAGTTTATTCGGGTTAGCTCAAATCCAGCCCACGGGTAAGCGTGGTACCCGTGTATGGGCCCCCCAAAATTTTTCCCGCGCGTGAAATCCAGCCCCCGGGTAAGCGTGGTACCCGCGTACGAGCCCCCCAAAGTTTTTACCGCGTAAACTGAGAAGCTAGAAGGCTGAAATTTTAGGGGAATGTTCCCCGCCCAGGCAGGTGCTAATGAGCTCACCCAGCCCTCGGGTAAGCGTGGTACCTACGCACAGGCCCGTGAAAAGTTCCTTCCGGGTAAGTTACTGACTCGATTATGCTAGAAAGCTGAAATTTTAGGGGAATGTTCCCCGTCCAAGCAGGTGCTAATGAGCTCAAATCGGTGCTAGAAGGCTGAAATTTTAGGGGAATGTTCCCCGTCCAAGCAGATGCTAATGGGCTCAAATCCAAACCCCCGGATAAGCATGGTACCCGTGTACGAGCCCCCCCAAAATTTTTCCCGCGCAAATTCATAACTCGGGGTTCTTCCGGGTAAGCGTGGTACCCGTGTACGGGCCCCCCAAAATTTTTCCCGCGCAAATTCATAACTCGGTACGTACAGGCCCGTGAAAAGTTCTCTAATGGGCTCAAATCCAGCCCCCGGGTGAGCGTGGTACCCGCGTACGGACCCCCCAAAATTTTTCCCCTCGATAACGTGAGGAGCTAGAAGACTGGAATTTTGAGGGGATGTTTCCTGACAGTTCTGGCGGCACGGATAAGCGTGGTACCCGCGTATGGGCCTCCCAAAATTTTCCCGCGCAAATTCATAACTCTGGGTTCGGAGATGCCAGAAAGCTGGAATTTTATGGGGACGTTCCCCGTCCAAGCAGGTGCTAATGTGCTCGAATCCAGCTCCCGGGTAAGCGTGGTACCCGTGTGCGAGCCCGCCAAAGTTTCTTCGGGTAAGTTCATAACTCGGGGATCTGAGAAGCTAGAACGCTG